TCACCTCACCACGTCCATTCAAGTACATGCACTAATGCCCATATTTAGTTTCTTGATACTAAGGATGAACAATTCATGTTCCTTTCTGAGGCTGGCCTATCCAATTACATATGACATCCTACCCCTTTTCCTATTCAAGCTCTTCAGCCCTCTCTCTCCTTTATCAGAAATTTTACCTCTCATGAGTACTCCCATGTGTATTCAAACATGCTATTTATTGTTCCCATCTTAAAAAACACACAAAGATTTTAAAACAAAGCGAAACAGAGGACAAAGGACTCAGCCTGCGTCTTAAGCGTCTTTCTTTTCTACCCCCCGTCCCCACATTACCTTTACCTTCCTCTCTACTATGTTCCAAGGGCCCTTTTGTCTCTGTAACTCGTTTCCTGAGCCCATTCCCTCTCCGGCTCACTTCTACCTCTGTGACTTTATAAATAAACTTTCTCTTATTAAACAACAACAGCAAAAAAACAAAAACAAAAAACAAAACACAACAAAGCAAAACAACAAATCCTGTTTTGATTATACTTCTTCCTCTGGCCTATTTCACTTCCTCATTTAGAGCAAAACTTAATTGTTTTTACATGCTGCCTTATATTTCTTTTCCTTTCCTTTGAATCTATTCTCTATTGAAATTGTTATGTCCAGGTCATTAATGACATTCAGATTGCTAAATGCAGAGCAACACAAGACTATTCTTAGTTCTTATCTTACTTGATTTACTAGAGGCCTGGTGCATGAAATTAGTGCATAGGGAGGGGGGGTGTCCCTCAGCCCAGCCTGCACCCTCTCCAATCTGGGGCCCCTTGAGGGATGTCCAACCACTGGGATCAGGCCTAAATGTGCAGTTAGACATCCCTCTCACAATCCAGGACTGCTGGCTCCTATCCACTTCACTGCCTCTTCCTTAACTGCTTCTGCCTGTCAGTCAAATCATCCCCTAACCACTCTCCTGCCAGCCTTATTGACACCTAACTGCCCTCTCCTGCCAACCTGGTCACCCATTACTGCCCTCTCCTGCTGGTATGATTGCCCCTAACTGCCTTCCCCTGCAGGCCTGGTCACCCCTAACTGCCCTCCCCTCCAGGCCTGGTCACCCCTAACTGCCCTCCCTCCAGGCTTGGTCATCCCTAACTGCCCTCTCCTGCTGGCCATCTTGTAGCTGCCATCTTGTGTCCACATGGGGTTGGTCATCTTTGATCACATGGAGGCAGCCATCTTGTGTGTTGGAGTGATGGTCAATTTGCATATGACCTCTTTATTATATAGGATAGGATTAGCATCTTTATTAACTTTGATTTTCCAGCCTCCTTCAAATACTTTCTTTGGCTTTAGGGTAAAGTCCTCTATCTCATTGACCATTCCTTCTCAGAGTCTTTACTGTTTCCTTTTCATTCCCTCAACTTCTATATCTTGGAGTGTTCCTGGGACAAGTTATTAAATGTTTTTACTACCTATCTTTAGCCACCCGGTGACCTCACCCATTTTCATAGCTTTAAAAACCATTGTTATTATGATAATTCCCAAATTTACAACCTCTGATTTTCAGGTTTATATATACAACTTCTTACTCCACATTTCCACTTCAACATATAATTGGAATTTAAAACTTAACATATTTAAAACTCATAACTCTCCTAATTGTTCCTCTCTGAGGCTTTCTTATCATAGTAAGTCGCTGTTCTATCCTTTCAGTTGTCCATGCCAATCGCTTTAGAGTTGTCCTTAACTTTACTCTCTCATACTGCATAACCAATCCACCTGGAAATCATTTTTATTCTTCTTTCAAAATACATTCAAAATCACCACTACTATTACTACCACACCAGTCCAAATCATCACCTCATCTATGAGTTATTGCAGTAGGCTTTGAATTAGTCTCTTTGATTTTATTATTTCCCTTTCACAAGCCCTGCTCCTAGCATTTGTGGAGCGTGGGCCAAAAATACAAATGGACGCCCATGTTTGCATACATTTTTAAAAATCCATTGTTATTATGATAATTCCCAAATTTACATATATGGACACCCCAGTCTACATGTCCAACCCTCATCCTCACTCTTACAAACAGCCATCTGTTGGAAACTCCACAGCCTGAGCATGTGCACACCAGTGATGTTATCCACTCTTGGAAGCACAAACCTGTGGAGGAGGACTTTGAAGTTCCTGGAAGTGGGTTTGGGACAGATTGGGCAAGGAATTCCAGGGTTCTCATTATTTAGAGCACATGTGTCAAACACAAGGCCCGCGGGCCAAATCCGTCCCGCCAGGCCTTGCAATGTGGCCCGCACCGCGCTGTCATCACTGCACTCCGCTGCGTTTCCATCACAATGACAGTTTATGACTGTTCAGTAAACCATTCGGCCCGCGATTTAGGCTGGATTTTAGATTTTGGCCCCTTCTCTGATTGAGTTCGACACCCCTAGGTTAGAGTGTGATCTTGAAAAGGAGGTTGTGGCCAGAATAGAGCCCTCAAAAATAGTTCAAGGCAGGGACTTCCTTATCTGGATGTTAGGGCAAACTCCCTTATACTCTCTGTAAGGGGAAAGGACACCCTCTATCTACAACCTCCTTGTCCCAGTATGGGTGGCACTCGGAGGGGTTTTAGAACCTGAGCAGAGTGAAGAGGGTGTAGAATGCAGGGACTGCGATGTCTGGACAAGGGTGTTAAGGTGGATGAGGAGGGAGTCTGTGCGGGGGGCAGAGTTTAACACTGATGAAGACAAGGCAACTTATTGTGATTTGGGGCTAGATTCTCTGCTATAAAGGACATTATTGGGAAAATCAGCGGAATTTTAATGGGGTGTGATAATTAGAAGGTAGTGATATGATATTAATTTTCCAGTTTTGTTGGTCATGTGGTTTTAAATATGTTCTAATTTATTTATATATTAGGAGAATGTCTTTGTATGTAGGAAACATTCACTAAGGTATTCAGAATTGATAGGGGATGGTGTTGATTGCTTTCAAATGGTTTAGGGAAAAGATTGTTGTAACATATTTGCAACTTTTCTGTAAGTTTGAATTTGATTCAAATTAAAAAAATTCTTTTGAAATACATTAAAAATACTTTACATAATGACCACATTCATCTTGAAGCATTCATCTTGAAAATATACTGGCAATATTAAACTCCTTCAATGAAAAGTAGAATTCTTGGTGTGGCTTCCAGTTCAAAGAATAGGTAGTTGTTTTTTTCATCAGGATATTCTTGTACATGATAGTGAAGAAAAATGCAGCCTATGCTAAGTTTTGCAGGACAAGACCCTATCTTTTATTAAATATCTTATTGGGTAATTTGTCCTCTAGCATGTAATTTATATTATAAAAATATACTCCATATTCAACTTTCTGTAGAACTGGATTTGACTTTCTCTCTCCCCATCTTTACATTATGATTAGTTAAAAAAAAAAAGAAAAAAGAAAAAAAGAAAAAGAATTATTGAACAGTGAGTGGTATACCCTCCATATAAATGCAACAATTGTTAATATTTTGTTATCTACCTATCTATCTTTTAAAAATATATTTTATTGATTTTTTTACAGAGAGTAAGGGAGAGGGATAGAGAGCTAGAAACATCGATGAAAGAGAAACATTGACCAGCTGCCTCCTGCACACCCCCTACTGGGGTTGTGCCCACAATCAAGGTACATGCCTTTGACAGGAATCGAACCTAGGACCTTTCAGTCGCAGGCTGACGCTCTATCCATGAGCCAAACCAGTTTCGGCTCTATCTACCTATCTTAATCTATTCAGGTTGCTATACCAAAAATACCATAGATGGGATGGTGTAAAGGTCAAACATTTATTTCTTGGGATTCTGGAGTCTGGAGGTCTGAGATCAAGACACCAGTAGATGAATTGATGAAGGGTTTTTTTTAGGAAGAGGAAGAAGATAATGATAAAAATTATGAACAAGAAATACGTAACTATCAACAAGTGAAACTAAAAACCAAGGGAATTAAAAAAATCTGGTGAACAATATTAACTGGTGAATATAATAGAATCAGAGGTATGGAAGGAGAGTGGACTGATGATTCTAGGGGGAAAGGGGAATGGGGGGTTCGGGAAAAGACTGAACAAAAACTGTGCACCTATGGATGAGGACAATGGGGGGCTGGGGAAAGGACAGAGGGCGGGGTGGGAACCTGGTGGAGGGGAACAATGGAGGGGGGGGGGCGAAAGAGGAACATTTGTAATAATCTGAACAATAAAGATTTATTAAAAAAAAAAAAAAAAGACACCAGCAGATTCAGTGTGTGGCAAGAGCCCACGTGCTATTGGTAGAATGCATCCCTTTTCCTCCCAGGGAGAAAGGGGATTAGGTGTCAACATATCAATTTCTCTGTGTGTCTGCGCGTGCGCGTGGGCAAGCACACTCAGTTTGTGGCAACTGTCTTTGTGGAAGCATTTGAAATCAAGTTGCAGACATTATAACACTTCACTCCTAAACACTTGAGCACAAATTTTCTAATAATAAAAATATTTCCCAACATAACCGCAAAGTATGAATTATTCATACATGAACATCAATAAATGTATCCACAAATCATTAATTATTCTATCAAACCAATCCTAACATACAGTTCATATTCAACCTTCCTAAATTGTTGCAGAATGTTTTTTTTATAGCTTCATTTCTGGAAACCAGGATTCGCAATACTCAAGTCAGTAACTCCAATCCCTTCCTTGAAGGAACAAGTCTTGGCCATGCAATTATTCCCTTTTGTGCACGTTGGAGCGGGTATGTCTTGGGGCGCAGGAGGACTTTGGGGTGACTTGCGCCTGGATGCCATTTCGGGGCAGGCACAGGAGTTTGAGGTTGGTAGGTAGGTAGGTAAGTAGGTCCAGGCTCCTCCGGATCCGGATCCCTGGCCAGGACTGACTTCCCCGCTAACAAGTCAACTTCACCTTGTTAGGAGCTGGCCAGAGAGGCAGGGACCCTCTCCCGCCGCCAGAGGGCGCGCGGCGCAGGCCGGGGCCGCGGTGGCCGGGCGGGCAGGCGGGCAGGCGGGGCGCGGGTGGGCGCGGGGCGCACAGTTGGCGCCCCCTCCCCACGCGGGGCGCGTGCGCGGTTCGCGGCCGCGGCAGAGGGAGCTGCGATGGAGGGTCCTCCGACCGTCCTCCTGGTAAGTTGCTCCTCGCAGGGTCGGGCTCCCCAAAGGCGGCTTACCAGCTTTCTCCGAGTTGGAACCCGCTATCCTTGGGTTCCTTAGTTCCTGCCTGCCCTTTCTGGGTGCTTTTTGGAGAAGTGGGGGGAGTTGGTGCCAAGGAGAGGGCTTCCCGTGCTTCCCGCGAGCCCGTGCCCTCCGGGTCGCGGTGGAAGGTCTGCTGCTCGGCGGGCTGGGGTGCAGGGGTTTGGCCTCGGACTGTCCCGTTCCAGATGTCTCGCTCAGGCCCATGGACTCCGGCCCCCTGGTCAGCATTCTGACCCGATGTCACGATGTCACACTGACCCAGCCTCGCTCCCTTCCCTTCACTACCAGCTCAGACTAGAGTTTAAATCACTGTGCTGTCAACCACGTTGTTTTTGGTTTAAACTAGTTTTGTTTAGAACCTTCTTTGGCAAATGGAAGAACCGGTTGTTTAATCTTAAGAGTGAAAGCCTACTTCTGCTGCAGGAGTACCTGTGTTTCTTCTGAGCACTATCCTCACCCTGGGAAGGAAGATGAGGGTTCCTTTGCATACCTTGTTCAAGATCCCGACAAAGTATGTTTTGAGAAAAAAAATGAGTGCCTGGGTCACCATGAGTCATGTTTGGAACTCTGATGGGGATTAGACGTGTCGTGGCAAGGGCTATTATTATGGCTTTAGTCTATGTCGAGACAGGTGTGACCTTAATTTATATTTTGAGGATCTGGGAAGCGAGAGAGTTTCAGAGTCCTTTATGCCAAAGGGTACATCTCTTAAGTCAGTGGCCCAAGTGTAGGCCCAAACCTGTGCAGATGGCTCCAATTGTTGACTGGAGCATTCACTGTGAAGGCGACCGTGGGAAGTTCAGCCAGTTCTGATCATAGGGTCCTTTGTCAGGGACATCTCGGGTGAGGGATCCAAAGCAGTGGGTCTCCAGGGAGCCTCATCGTGTGCAATGGTGGTGATGCTGTCCACCTAACAGCAAGTTTGTCCGTCAAACTTCCAACTGGAGTTTGAAGAACCCGAACTCCTATTGCTGTTCACTCAGTCGTACCCAAGTTGCTACCCAGGTATTCCAAGGGCTTCGAGGAGAGGTGACCTCTTCCAGTACCATGACATGCGATAAAAGAGCGAGGGCAGGGCCGGCCATGTCCTCCTGCAGGTGTGCTGTGCCAGAGGACGTGGTTCTGTTCTACCGGAAGGAAGTCCTGGCGGCTGTGCTGAGCTTGCAAGCTGTTTCTTCTAGGACCCGAGGCACAACTGGCAGCTGAGGAGGGACAGTCACAGGTTCCCTTTGGCAGAGAGTCCAGTGTGCCGGCAGTAACTGCTGCTCTAATGGCATAGCGTATGGGGATCGTTTCTTGCTTCAGGAGCTTGTGGACATTATGGTTACTTGTAGAGTTTAAGAAGCCCAAGATTGCTGAAACCGGTTTGGCTCAGGAGATAGAGCGTCGGCCTACGGACGGAAAGGTCCCAGGTTCGATTCCGGTCAAGGGCATGTACATTGGTTCTGGGCACATCCCCGGTAGGGGGTGTGCAGGAGGCAGCTGGTCGATGTTTCTCTCTCATCAGTGTTTCTAGCTCTCTGTCCCTCTACCTTACTCTCTGTAAAAAAATCAATAAAAAATATTTTTTTTTTAAAAAGAAGCCCAGGATTAAGTTGAGCCAGATTTAACCCTGAGGATGTTTGTTAAAAGAGACATGGGTGGTAGCAGCAGCAGAGGTATTTAAGAGCTGTGTGCTCTGATAATGGCTGCTCCCCCTCCCCTTCCACACCTCCTCTTTCTCTCTTCTCTCTCCATAATGACTGTTCTTTCATGAGTGACCCACCTGATAGGCCCATATCTTGCATAGGTATAACCTTTCGCCCGAGTGCTCTATAGATTGGGGGCCAATGCCTGGTGGAGACATCTGATCCATTTATTTTAACTCCATTGTTTGAATAAACCAGAATTAGTTTACCAATTTCCTTATCAGTGGACAGTAAGTCATTTGCACTTTTTTGGTGTTACAAACATGGTTGACTCCATGTGCACATTACGTTGCTGGGTTGTTAGTATATACCCATCGTAGTCTCTACTAGGCATTGAACACTATTCTCCCAAGAGGTTGGACCAATTGTCATCCCCATCACTTTTTTTTCCCCCTACTGTTTGACTCTTCCCCTAGTTGACTGAAGTGCTGGGGACAAAGGACTTTGTTTTATTCACTTTTGAATCCCCAGTGCCAAATAAACAAACTAGCAAATAGTAGTAGTTGGAAAATATTTTTTGTACATGTAAATGTATGAACTATAGAAGCAAAAAGGTATTAGTTGCTGTTTTTTAAGAGCTTAAATATTATCCTTTTCAAGTTAATTGACATCTTTTGAACATTAACTCTTTTCTTTTAAAAATAGACATTTCTCAATAAATAATTTGAATTGGTTGATACTTTTTTCCAGGAAATAAATGAAGGAGAATCAAGCATTGCCAACAAGCCACCGGAAGAATCAGAGGAAAATCCTAGTCCAATTGTGGATGAGAATAATACAGTGTCAGCTAAAAAACAGGGGCCACATGGACATAACTGGAGTGGTGACTGGAGCTTTTGGGTAATATTTTTTTTCTTTTATCTTCATTTTAATCTTAAATGCAAAATTTTGTAAGGTTACAGCAATTCATATATTATTTATAATTTTTTAAATTAGCTTCTAGATTCTAGATATTTGTCAGCCTTTGAGTCCCAAAACCATTTCCGAGTATGCCCTCCTTTGGCCACTAGAATGCACTGTCCTCTGGTTTGATGGAGTGGAATTATCTGCTTCAATTTTCTTGGGAGAAAACAACACCACAGAATTGGATCCCACTATATTGGCAAGAGTCTAACATTATACAGAAATCATATTCCTCAATGTTACTGAGAAGCCAGCTATTTTACATCATTTTAATTTAAGTAATTAGTTCCTGTACCTAGAAGGAAATTTAACTAAGTGTGACCTGTAGCGTATAATGATTTTGAGATTGGTTGTAAAGTTTCATAGTGTGTTTGCACTGTGATCATTTGATTGCATCACCTGGATGTGCTTCAGGTTTCCTCACTGTAACATGAGACTGTGGCGCCTTGGTGAGGTGCACAGAGTCTTTTGGTAAGAACATTTCTGTTACCATAGCAATGCTTACATTTATTATATTAAAGGGCTCATTATAAATCTAGCAATTCCTGTAAGAATTATGAGTCATTTGATAGAATAATGCAGCAATAAGTGAATTTTACATAAGAGCATAAGGCATATATAGTTCCAATATTAATTTATTAGAAAGCTGATATCGTGAGGATTAGGTATATGTATGTGGTAGCAGAATTTCTAATAATTTTAGAGTAAACAACAACAACAAAAAAAGACATATTATTAACAGGTTATAAGGATTAGTACAAGTACATCATTCTGTTCATAATTTGCAGCTCAGCTATAGAATGTTATCAAATCTTCAGATTAATAACAGGTTCTTACTTCCTATTAAGAAGGAAAATATTTTATTGCTAAGAAATATATCAAGATAACTACATACCCTAAAAATTATATCATCTACATTTGATGATAATATCTTTGGACACATTTTGAGAAAGTTTATCACTGTTGTGTTTTGACCCTTCTGTACTCTGCTTTTTATATTTGTTACAGATTGGGAACCTTTATAGATCCAAGGGTTATGTTTAGGGCTAAAGGATTACTGTGGTTACTCTTGGCAGATTTGATGCAAGAAAAAGGATAAAGTAAGAAAATGAAAAGGCATGGGAATGAGGACTTAGAGATAGAAGGAGTGGGGAAAAAGAGGTATGCAGGGTAGAGCTAGAAGATTTGGCATCACACATCAGTTGATTAAAAATGCAGAATCCTGGGCCCAACCTCAGACCTACTGAGTCAGAGTCTTCATTTTCACAAGATTTCCAAGGGATTTGTATGCACATTCAAGTTTGAGAAACACTGGGTTAGAATGTTGAAGGTTTATTTTGGCTCAGTTCTAATTTTCTTTGATGATGACAAGTACTTTATTTTGAACAATTTTTAAGAAATATATATTTTTATTAATTTTTAGAGAGGAAGGGAGAGGGAGAGAGAGATAGAAACATTAATGATGAGAGAGAATCATTGATCAACTGTCTCCTGCACATCCCCTAGTGGGGATCAAGCCTGAAACATGGGCATGTGCCCTGACCTGGAATCTTGCCTTGACCTCCTGGTTCATACGTTGTTGCTCAGCCACTGAGCCACACCAGCCAGGCTTGAGGAATTTTTATATGGATTCACATGAAGTAGACTTAAAGACAAATACAACATCTCAGAAGTTTTACTGACTTTTCCAGAGGCCACTTACACAGAAGCCAGAACTATCAGAACTCAGAAGCAAACAAAAATGAAAGAGAACCTGAACAGCCAAATCCAAGCTCATGCTGGTATATATTGCACGAGGAGAATTCCTCAAGTCTTCATTGGGAATTTCTTTGATGTATTTTTGACATGTTTTTATACACCTAATACATAAGATGGTCCCTTTTTTTAGTTGAATAGAATGTTGGGAATAAGAGGATTACTGTGGGATAATACATAGACACTGGCAAGAAATGACAGCAGAAACTCAGAAGCTGTAGCAGTTTCAGCCTCTTAATGTGGAGGACAGAGGTCTGTGTAGACAAATGGCTCTAATGCAGTACAACTGTAACTGCTAAAAATGATGGTTAAGAAGTCTGCAAAATAATACCCTTCTCTGCCACTTTATTTTCTTATTTCTCTCTCCTCTCTATCATTTTAAATCCATCTAACTACCACTATCTCTACAATAAAAACCTCTGAGTATACTCAACAGCCAGATGTTACATGGGAACATCTTTCCTTAAGACTCTCCAGTGATTAAAAGTTTGAAAAGTGCTAAATAAGAACACTTTTATTTGTAATATTGGAAAATGTGTTTTCATGATTCCTCATAACTAAAAAATTGGGAACACTTAAGAGGATCCAAAAAAGTGAACCAAAGTTTGTGAAAGTTCTGTTGTTTTCTTGCAGAGGTTGATATCTTTTAGGCCCTGTCGATTTAACCTTGTGCTACTTAACAGATTGATGGAGCACAAGTGTCTCCATCTTGTCTTTCTGACAGTAGGACTTTTATTTAAAGGAATATGATTAACTTTCCATAGCAATTGATAGTGAGACCCACAGCTGCAGAGTTTCCATTTTATTTTATTTTATTTTAAAATATATATTTTATTGATTTTTTTTATAAACATATTTTATTGATTTTTTACAGAGAGGAAGAGAGAGGGATAGAGAGTTAGAAACATCGATGAGAGAGAATCATTGATCAGCTGCCTCTTGCACACCCCCTACTGGGGATGTGCCCGCAACCAGGAACATGCCCTTGCCCGGAATCGAACCTGGGACCTTTCAGTCCGCAGGCCAACGCTCTATCCACTGAGCCAAACCGGTCCTGGCTATATTTTATTGATTTTTTACAGAGAGGAAGGGAGAGAGATAGAGAGTTAGAAACATCGATGAGAGAGAGTCATTGATCAGCTGCCTCTTGCACTCCCCCCACTGGGGATATGCCGGCAACCAAGGTACATGCCCTTGACCGGAATCCAACCCGGGACCCTTCAGTCCCCAAGCCGACGCTCTATCCATTGAGCCAAACCAGTTTCGGCAGTTTCCATTTTAATCCTGTAATATAAAGATAGGAATATCAATTGTTATATTTGTTTTCTTTTTTATTTAAAAGTGAAAATATTGAATCCTATTGTGTGGGAAATGAGTTTCATTATGAATTTTTAAATCCTAATTTTGCAATAAAATTTTTTTGAAATGAAGAAATGAGATTTAAAATGAAGTTAATGGCAAATAACTATTCATGCTTTTGCCCTTTAACTATTAGTAAAAATACATGGCAAAAGAAAAAAACAACTCGAAGCCAAACTTTTGTTTTCCCAATTAAAATAATGGCATATTCCTGGTGGAATAAGGTCCCAGAGGAAAAGCTTACAGAGATCCGTGGCAGACACACTTGTTTAAGTGTAATTTCTCTAGCAACGGTTGGGAAGAGAAAAAGCCTTTGAGATTTTCTGTTGTGTATGTTTAAAAGATGACATACTTATCTATATATTTCACAAAAGTAAAGTGCTTTGGGTCAGGTACTATTATTAAACATTCATTTATATTGATAGGCTATGATTGCCAGCCAGGCTTGGGGACTCTACCTGAGGGGTCCTGGATTGCTGCCAGCCAGATGGCCTGGGCCTCCCTCTTTGAGGTGATTGGTCTTGGAGCTGTGCAGAGGGTGGTCTGGGCCTCTCCCTCTTTGGGGCAATCTTTGGGCAATGGTGGGCGCACATCTACTGCTTCCTCCCCCCCCCCCCCCCCCCCCCCCCCCCCCCCCCCCCCCCCCAATCACATAGCACTCGCCTTGGTTGGCCTGGCGCTAGTGCATATCTGGAAGGTCGCCGGATGGTCATTCTGCTGTTCGGTCAATTTGCATATTATGCTTTTATTATTATAGAAGTGGGGATAAAACCTGCCACAAACCTGATTTAGAGGTACATCATGAGGATTAATTCATGTTGCACTGTTAAATTTAAAAATTGCCCAAGAGGATTAATTAGTAGATATGTTTGTAACATACTTTGGCAACTCTGGAGAAGACGGTTTCTTGAACCATTTGTTGTTCTCCACAACATATCTTGAATTTATTCAACCTAAAAAGGATATTTCAGATTTTCACTTTGGTAACTGATAAAAAAAAAAAAAAAAAAAAAAAAAAAAAAAAAAAGAATAAACTCATTTTCCAATGTCTGTTGGATTAAAAAAAAACACAAATTTTATCCAACTAAAAATTTTAATTTCCCTGCACTAATAAGAGAGTAACATGCTAATTGACTGTACCTTCGTGACGCCCACCAGCCAATCAAGAGTGAGCATGCAAATTAACCCAACAAAGAGGTCAGGTTGATTTGCATATGCAGCTGCCAAGCGGCTGGGGGTGGGGCAGGATGCATGCGATGTCTCCATGGCGATGACACAGGTATTCCACACCACCTCAGCTACTCTGGGCCTCTGGGCAGTGTGGGAAGGCAGAAAGGCAGCTCTGGGCTGGAGTGAAGGCAATGCTGGCAGCCAGGGGAAGGAAGGCCCATTCTTGCATGAATCTTCGTGTATCGGGCCTCTAGTAGGTAAATATTGTTTGAAAGCTCAGATATCTTTTAATACGTTCAGAAATAATTAGGAGGGAATGGCAACTAACATTTTTAGAATATGAAGACAGGGCTTTTTAACTTAAAAGCTCTTCTGCTCCTAAATCCTTAGAAATGCTGGATGAAATGTTATAAACATCTTCTTGAAATGAATGTCTGGGCTCATTAAATAGCAAGAGAAACACCAAAGGGCTAAAAAAGAAGAAGGAACTGATTTCCAGAGATGCTAGCCCATAAGCTCAATGTCGAAGTAGCCCTGAGGAGTATAGAAGCCTCTATAACCCAGCTTTAATGGCCACACTGGGTCAGGAGATGGTGCCTGGGACTTGTTTGAGTTGGAACTGAGAACTGTTTATAAAGCCATGACTCTCGAAG